CAGAAGACTCCGACAGATATCGGAGGTTTGAAGCTAAGCTACCTTCGTTAGATTCTTTATTTCTCAGAACTCACTGAACAGTGAGTCCATCAGCAGCTTTTCATAAGCACCCAACTGAGATCGTGACCTCCGCTTCCAGACATTAATTTCTTGAATCGCATTGCACACAATATAAGGTCAATCCGTGCGCGAGAAATGAAGTAAAAGTTTAGATATGCTAAGCGCCGGGGAGCTAGAATACGACGCTTTGATGAAGCATCCTCAACCCTCATATGTCACCACTGCCCCGAGATAAAAGCAATTGATCCCAGAAATTTGATGTTGATATACAGTCCTCATCATTACGTACTGTCGGGGCGGCACAGCCGCGCTGCACTGTGACGCGACAGCGGCTGCGGCTCGGTGACGGTGAATCAGCTGATTTCGATGGAATTCGGCTGCAAATTCCCACTTTTTCAGCTCTTCAAGCTTCTAAAGTGGAAGGTGAGTTATTCTGACCAATTTTGAATTGTACTGGCTCTGATTTTCTTTATTTTTTGTCGATTATTATGCTTTATTATGCTCTTTTCCTTGTATTTTGCCTTATTTCAGGCATTTATTCAAATGGCTTGCATTCTTTCAGATTCATTCAGAGTCAGTACAATTCAAAATTGTTCAGAATAACTCACCTTCCACTTTTGGGAATTTGCAGCCGAATTCCATCGAAATCAGCTGATTCACCGTCACCGAGCCGCAGCCGCTGTCGCGTCACAGTGCAGCGCGGCTGTGCCGCCCCGACAGTACGTAATGATGAGGACTGTAAGTGCCAAAAACAGGTGATAAGGGAAGTTTGTTATATTGTTCCACGACGGACCTGAGCCAGAGTAGGCGTGGCATTTGAACATGGCACGGAATTGGTTACTCGTGGAATATTTCAGTCTGGGACAACTGTCATCTTGTTCTGTGTTGGACAGAGACACGACAACAATTGTGTCAAGATGAAAATATCTCACCAGAAGCATAGACACCTTCAGGTTAAGTTGAAACATGCGGCCACGCCTACCCGATCTCAGGGATTTCGAGTATAGTCGCCTAGTCTACAGTGATGGTGACTGCACCGCTTCCGCGAAGCAAAAGCGAGTGACGAGAGTACCCACGCCCTCACTCTCCTCGCTGATCCGGACCTTCCTTCGTTAGCTCCGAGACCTGCGACCCTTTATTTCAGAGAACCATCTTGATCTATAAGCAACTGATGCCCAGTGTTCTACCTACAATCACTGGGTTCTAGAGAATCGTAGCCAAGTATGGTCGCACGCGAAACCGCCGCCACTTCACTTCAGTAGTTTTTTTCTTCTAACTTCTTCACAGTGTACAGGAACGTTGAGAATACTATAATCCGGCGTGCTACACGTAACATTGGGCCACCCTCCTATAGTGAGGCGCCAGTGACTACGAGGGCACAAGTAAGCGATCGTCGTCTTTGCTCAATGGACCGCAGTTCAGCCCTAGTCGGGGGTCGTATTAGCGGTATTATGCCTCCACATCGTAATATACTTGTCCGTCCTTATTCAGATTCAGATTCACGTTCGGATTTCCTATTTCATTCACAGACCGATGAGAGTGAGAAGAAGAGAGCATCTACGTAGACATCAGGCTCTTCAGAAAATGATTACTGGTAGCTACTCTTTGTTTACAAAACTCTTCATCGAATGGCTTATTAAACGTCGATCCGTCTGCGAATTTGCAAGCTTGATTCAAAATAGTATTCCTTTCCCTAGAAGCTTCCCTTACAGTTCTAGTGTTTTCATATGATCCTCAATAACAGTTAAGCGTTCAAAATGCTTCGACTGAATTCGAACTTAGAGGAAAGCGCGCATCTACACTTATTGGCCACCTCTGTATGGTTAATAACGTCGCCATCAGTCGCGGCGGCTT